TGGTCGTTTTGCAATTCTGGCTGCAAGATGTGGCCTTTCTGCAGAAGGGTATCACTGCTGACATAAAACACTTCTCAAATCGATAGAAGTGTTAAGGGAAGCAATGATACATGAGTAATTTTTCAATCTATGGCCATTTACTTCCTTTCAGATATCTTTTTAATTGCTAAGCGATATATTTCCATGTTTGAGGTTAAATATTACAAAGCATAAAAATATCATTAGAGTAAAATATAATATGTCTGAAAGGCTCTAGGAGTTCTTAGGCCTAGAAAAGTTCAGCTGTTCCCTGGCATATCTGGTGTATAATGTCAGCAGTAATATCAGACACAGTAACTATCACTTTATTTTTACCTCTTATTGAAGCGCAAAAAACCCTATTAATCCTCACAATATAAAAGAAAGGCTTCAATTCCCAGACGCTGCTCAGACTAAACTGCTGATTCACAGGAATGGGAAAAACATCTCCAGAAAAGCACGGACCCTCATTCAACACTTCTGAAATGCCGTGATCTGTTCAGTGACCTGTCTTTGGTCTTGGCATCGTTCTCGTCTACTGGTATTCCTGTCGTTTTATCAAACATCAGTTAAAAGACAGGCAAAGACTTCAGGCTGCTTTTCCTTTTATTATTCTCCTCAGACAGATGCTCTCTCTTTTATTCTTCAAAAGGCTAAAAGAATTAAACCATATCCAAAAATGCATGTTCGAACAGGGATCCTGTGGTGTCTTCCTGACCCCTCAAGCTGACTTGCAGATCCAGGTCTAACCTTTTAGCCAAACTAGGCTGGTAATCCTGCTCGAATGTGATTCTTTGATTGTGGTGGTGGAACAGCTTAATATTTTAGCTGAAAGAAATGAGGAGCTCAGTTTCAGTGAATCTTTTGTCATATCTGAAGCGAATGTAGCACCTGTAATACCTGTGTGTATTTCTCACACTAGGCTTTTAATAATGCAATTAGAAAATCAGCAAAACACCTGCACTGTATCCAAAAAGAGATGACCTTCAATGTATATTGACTATTTATGGACGACTGGATATCTAACCGATCTTTTCTTCACACAGATTCAGTAATTTCTTAAGCAATGATTATGGAGAAGAAAGTAAATGCCTTCTTAAATTTCTGAAGCCTTTTAATCTAAAAGGCTGGATTCTGTTAATATTTTTAAAGCAATAACATTTTACTGCTAAATATTTTATGTATACAAGAATGACTACGTAATAAGGCAGTGAGAAACAAAGTCTCAGTTCTACGAATGATGTGCTGAAAACTGTTTTTTTTCTGATTACATGGCCATCCAAGGTAAAAAGTTGTGAAATTATTTTTTTTAAAATAGTAATAAATTAAGGCTGCAATAGACCTTTTCCTAGTCATGCTGATTCAATGACATTTTTAGAATTGGCTACTACTGACTGCTTTTTATTTCCTACATGCCTGATTTGAGAACCTCTTCAGTTGTGCAGATGATAAAAAACAGTCCCATAAAACTTGTAAGAGGCAGACATCAGCAAGCTTCATTCCGACCCCTTCTACCTCTTGAGCACTTGTGGAATAATGCTTTCCGTCCACAATTTTAGTTTTCTAGCCAAGAAAATTGGAAGAAAAGTACTGTACAGGACAGCAGACAGCAATCAGAGGAAGAGGCTTTCCCTGTCGGGCCGCGCGTACGGGAGGAACCACATTCCCAGCACCTCCTTTCACACGGGGGTGGACAGCAGCAGCTCCTACCTCTGCTTTGGACCATCAGCACTTTGAACCCACAACCTTTTTATTTCTTTCTAAAAATGGGGATAAAGCATGAGAAGCAAATTAGCATAAGAGCATATTTATGATCAACTTTGCAGATTTTTTCGTGCATCTAAAGGGCTTGACTCCACTCCAGTGTATTTGGAGCTAACTTGTTTACTTATATGCTGGAACCCTGTGTTATATGGAGAACCAGACACATAAATAAACCATATATTCAAATGCAAGTACTGCACAATTGTTTTCAACAATAGATATCCCAAATCCAAAGATGTGGAATTTCCTCAGCACATTTCAATGTAAAGGCTCTTAAGTTTACAAAATAATTCTGCAAGGTTTAGCACCAACTGTTACGGAAGATGCATGAAAATCTGTTTTTCACCACTGTTATTTAAATGTTAAGCAGCAAACAAATTTTTCTTGGCATTACAAGGCTCTATCACACAAATCATGGCTCGGTAGCACAAACAGGCTCGTGCCACAGCAGAAAGCAGGTGCTGCTGCTCCAGACCTGGCACGGGCACACGGCGTGTTCCAGGGCTGGTGGCGGTGCTGCTTGCTTTGGACCAGGCCTATGGGCTCAGTGCCCAGCAGCAACTGGGGCTCCCTAGAAGCCCTCGTCTGGGAGAGCTCTCCTGGCCACCTTCCACCTGGAAAAAGTCAGTCCATGGCACGAACCAGAGGGAGGATCTGCTTCAGAAACGTGCCAACCACCTGAATTAAAGCAGTGATGTGGACAACCCTCCAGCCGGTTTTGCCAAGAGTTGCAAAACGCACCTCGCTCCCAGAGAGGCCTTGACCACTGCACAGGACAAAGGCAAAGAAAAAGCTCTAAGAGCAAAGTTACGGCCCCGAAGGGATGTGCACCCCCAAGCTGGCCAGAAATTGCTCACAATGGCTCAGCTACACCTCCAAAGTGGCTTCAAAACAATTTAACCCCCAGCCCCTGCCCCCGGCCAAGCAAACGAGCCCTCACGGGGGAGCTGCTCCTTTCTCTGTAACAACAACAGTGACAAGGTCTTGCAGGAGGCCACAGCTGGGGTGCAGGGCTGGCACCCTCTAGGCCAGCACCTCTGAACATCACCACGCACATGGATTAGGATGTCTGCCTTGGGCATCCGGGACGAAAGGTTCTCCACAGTATTTCTGTGCCTCTGCTTCTATTCCTTTAATAATTTACCTCTGTGAGTGTCAAAGACATGTTTGTTATCGGAAGAATTGCATAAAGAAGCAGAAAAGCTACACAGAGAATGCGAGCAGTAGGAAACTTCAGAATGCTACAGGAGGATAAGAAGCCCCAAAATACATCTCAAGTCACAACCTCTTCTGAAAACAAGCAAGCAGAAGAAAGATGAATATCAATCAGCAATATTTTTAAAAGAGCATTAAGACCAGGAGAAGCATTAGAAAAAGTGCAATTATTAGCTATACACTAGCAACATCTAAAGCAAACTAGTGTACTATGAACTAAACCACTGAATTATATCCATCACGAATAATGATACATAATGAATCCAGAAGAAAGCACTGAGAGCATTCTCTCCACTTTTTCTTCTATGAGAAGATGAAATTTTGAAAAGTCATATTGAAAAGAAAGACAAACAGATTCAATAACTATTTTTCTCCCCGAAGTTTGATAATGCTCCTCAGATAAACACGTTCTGCTGGACCATGCTCTTCGCAGACACTGACACCGCCTGGTGAGAGCTGCCACCGGAGCCACCTCCTGCGAAACCCGGGGCCGGGTCTGAGCCGCTGCATCTGCCCCATGGTGACTCCCCTCGGTCCCTCTGCCCGCGTCCCCACTCTGCCTTTGCTGCCGGGGGAATCCGGGTGGCCCCCACAGAAACCAGGACGCAGGTAATGGCCACGCGGGCCCCGTCCGCACCGTCATGTTCAGCGACAACCAGTATTTTGGAGATGCCGTACGGGGTTCCCTACATTTCTTTATTGTGTCCCCAACAACTGCTTTTTCACCCCAGTGACACAAATCATGCAATATTGTAACTTCAGACTATAGATCTCACAGATCGACAACATGAATTTACAATTAACCCTGTTTGTAAGAGCAAAGCGAGGGCTTTAGTCCCCAGCACAGAGTTTAGTCTGCAGAGATGACAGCTGAAGACACCAGGAGGAAGCACCACCAAGTGCCTTAACCTTCGTCTGCCTCTTTGTAAAAACAGCTACCTGGTACCCTAAGACACTGCAATGAATAATTCACTACCATTTAAACACCACTCTGCAGTCAACACCTTGAAAATTAGTACCAATTATATCCAAGTACATTTATTAAATACAGTTACTGGCATTTAGTTGTACTTATGTGATGTCTGTTTGCAGTTTAAATCACTTATAAGTTCATGGTGTTTGTTAGCACTGCCCACTACAGGACTAATCAAATTATATGATCACCCATAATACTAATACATATATGTTATTATTCTCAGTTTATTTGAGAGTGCATACATGCATGTGAATACGTAAAATCCTACTTGGTCACACCAAATATCCAGTTTCCTGGATCTCCTGAAGACCGTAACACTGGATATTGACAGCAACGAATGCATGCACTCAGCATGCAGCCAAATGATTTATTTCTTTACAGAAAAATAGTATTGATTACTCTTGATTTCCACATCTATGATTTGCTTCACAAACCCCAAATAATATGTCACTATTTCAACAGTTTTAGTGATTGTCACATCTTCAGGGTAAATAAAAAGGGAATTCTGAGCAGGAAAAAAGGCCCATCAATACATTAGTAATCTTCAGTTTTGATAATTCGAGCAAAATACAATAAACTAGTCACTGAAATATGCCTATATCATCTGCATAACTTTTTTTTTTTTAAGCAGGATTCTCTTTTATGGAAGTTTTTATCTAGTCTGCAATCTAAAAAGGAAAGCTCCTGTCAAAATATTCAAGTTTTCACCATCAGGAAAACAACAAAACTCAGCATGAATAGAACAGTGCTTAACTATTCAAAGCTCTAATTGCAAAAGCTATTTTTAATCTTAAATGAAGCTAAGAATAATATTTACACATCATACAGTTTTCATTGTAGCAAAAATGTCTATTATTTTTTCATTATGATGTTAATTGAATCTGTCAAATAGATTTACTTACAGTTACTTTATTATGATCTAACTTAAAACAGTTGATTTTATACAGCAGGAAATAGCAATTTATTTGCAGAAACCTTAGTACTGTATTCTGTAGATGTTTACATTAAATCAGGTTTGTTTCTACTGTTGATAATACTGGTAGAATACGATGCTTAGCCCCAACCCGGGGGCTTCAGGGTAACATGAAGCCCCACAGATAAGAGGGAGCCCGTGTGCAGGGCTGCCGAGCACACGGAAGAAGCTGCTAAGCCCCTCCGGGCCTGGTGGGATGGGATGGAATGGGATGGGATTGGATGGCATGGGGTGGAATGGGATGGGATTGGATGGCATGGGGTGGGATGCCCAGCCAGCTCCTGTCATGGCCCAGTTTGGAGCTGCTGGGGGTTCCCTGTATCAAGCAATGCCAGTTTGGGGCTTTCATCCACATGGAGAGCTCAGCGTGTCCCCGCGGCACCACGAAGGGCACAGCAGAGGCTTCTGCGGGGCTGGAGAGGACACCCATGGTCTCCAGCTGCTGTACCCAAATCAGATCCTGCAGCACAGACCCTAACGCACTGCAGTTAAACATGAAACTCGTATGACTGTAAAAAAACCATACACAAAACCTGCCGATTTTACCATCTCATCCTACAACAATACCATAAAGATGAAGTCTTATTTCAATGGGATGCTAATTCTCAAGTTATACAATGGCACTTAAAACGGGAAACTTTGCAGACAATTTAGATCCACAATCTGCCATAAAAATGTTCGTGCTCCTACTCAAATTTTACATATAAATTAGGAAACTGCATTTACAAATAACCAATTGAATAAACAGTAAAAGAAGCAGCGATGCTAACTGTCCTTATTACCACCAAAGCAGTATAACTTATCATTATCTTAAAAATATTTTATCTTAAAAAAATCATTATCTTAAAAATTATTTTTTAGAATAAGTTTATTTGGATTCAATGCAAGACAAATGACTGTGACTAACAGCAACAAATGGAGCATGTATACAAACACATACTTCATCTGTCCTATACCACTAACTAGATTTATTCCACTGAAAGAATAAGACTGATTTTTGCATAAAGTACAGAACCGTCCTTCAACGTGTATTCTACACTACTCTTCTGCAGTTCTGCATTAAAAATGGCTATTTCTACAAGACAGAGATTTTTAAAAATATTTTCCAAAACAAAACAGTTCCGACACCAACTGTTCATCAAACAAGGAGAGATTAAATCATTTCTTTTTTCCAAAATTCCAGAAAGATCAGTTTAATGACATCCTATCCTCAGCAGCAAAAAATTTCAAGAATGCTGTGAAATATTTACGGTGTATTTCAGAGAGAGCATTTAGTGAGCAACGCAGAATAGCTCTTAAGCCCTTCTTCATAATGCTGTTTAATAAAAAAGCAAATTGAAGCACAGATGTGGGCATAAACATGATTTTGGAAATTGCAGCAGTCGTCAAGGCACCTCCCGGGTGCAGCAAGGGTAACCCAGCTCTCTCATTAAGACACAGCACCAGCCACTTTCCTGTTGCTCTTCCAGAGGAAGTAGCCTGAAACTCACTCTTTTATATGTATCCAGTGGGACCCAACAATAAAAAACTGCAACAGTTTGGCATGCGCTCAGCTTACCTGCCACAGATGCAAGTGTAGGAAGTATGGCGCATCCCGCCTCGAGCATAGCAATAGTGCTGGAAAAGGCTGCAAAGAAAGAAATTGGTAATTAGTAATATATTCAAAACTTCCCCAAGACAGAAGGGAAAGCAGGTCTTCAGTACAGCTGTGCCGGTGCGAATTCCTGGCTCCTAGCGCAGTGCTCTGCCCTTCTGTGTTCAGTCTGCACTTGAATTCACGGGCAGCCAGAGCTCAGCTGCTTTGCGGGTCATCCCATAGGTTCTAGAAGCCCAACAGGGAGCTCTGCACCCAAGCGGAGGTGCTGGAGGGCAGCTCAGTAACTGCACATGGCAGATGGCTTTCCTCAGCAATCCAGCAGAGAAAGGCAAAACACTGTCAACACAAGGGCGCTAATCTGCCCACAGACAGGAACACGGTAACAGTTAAACAAAAGCTGAAACTATCTCAAGCTTGAGAAGAGGACTTTGTGCTGGCGTTCCAGGGGCACAACCACCCGCACAGGCCGCATTCCCGCCCTGCCGCCCTCCGGCTGCGGCCTGGAGCTGCAGCAACACGGAGAGCGGGACACGCAGGCCATGAGGCGGGCGCAGGGGCAGCCGCCACAGCCCAAGCGCGGCCCCGGAGGAGGAGTCGGCTCCAGGGCATCCCCTCGAGCTCCTCCTGCCGCAGCAGAGGCTCCCTCAGCCCTGGCTGTCCTGCCCAAGGAGCTCTCCAGCCTTCAAGGCACCGCGACGGTTTGATCTTTGCTGTCCAAGTCCCCTTCGCATGAGGGCAGCTATGCCCAGAGCACCATTAATACAGGATTAGGTGCTTCAAGAGCTAAGCACATATCATGGACTCTTTTGTTCTTTTTGAAATATGCTCTAATTACAATCCAATTCCCTTTAATACTGAATGGATTTGAAAAACTCATTTGTTGTAATACTAAAATCATTTCATTAACATAGAGTGATAATGGTGCTACTCAAAGGTGAGAGATGATGTGATTTTGTCCTTCTGCAAACTGCAGAAGATAGTTCAAGTTCTTTGAAGGATATTAAAGATGTTACACACCGAACCAGATTTTAAAATTATACAGAATGACATTATTTCAAGAGAAACAAAACAAAGCATACAAATTAAAGAGACAAGAAAAAAGAAAAGTCTACATTTAGGAACTATAGCCTAACTTTGCAAGGAGACACATCTTATAAGATTTTTCTTCTGTTCAAAATGCTGTCAAGATAGAAATGCTAATTCTGTATTGCCCTAGAAACCTGTAACTGTGAAGAGTAGGTCAAGTGACAGGGAACCTAAGGAGAAACTCTGAAATGGAGCACACATAGCAGAAATATCGCTAAATTCAGCGACTGAAACTTATATAAACTGCCTTTTGCTCTTGTGCAGATGCTTCTTCACCTTAGGGACTTTTCAGATGGGAAGAGTTATTGACCTTCTCCTCCATGGCATGCTTGCCTGTATGCAAGATATATACCACAAGACATCACGCACAAGCATTTAGCACAGTACTGTATTATACTGTTAAACACAGAGTCATGTCCTAGAAAGTAACTTTCACTGTATTTTATAGACCCTTTGCACTAAACCCTTTGTATCTCCTCTCCAAGGCAACTTCCAGTAACCTTCTAAAGAGCTTTAAAAATGAAATAATGAAGGTTGTAAACATCCTTCCATCATCAGCGATGCAGAGATAGCAGGTTTGCTTTGCCATATGACAACTGATCACATATTCATGGTTGAAATTTATATGAAACTCTGCATCAGAGTAATGGCAGTCACCTTTCAATGTATTCCCTGATTAGCCATAAAAAGTGGTAAATAAAGACATGCTTCATATAATCCAGCTGTTGGCTAAACTTCATTCCTGTTCGCTGAAAGAGAAAACTTGATTGTTTCATCAAACATTTAAACATTTATGGACTTTCTTTTAAGGGCAAATTAGAAGTGTTTTCTTTTCTTTCTTTTTTCTTTCTAGATTGAATGCTCAAGCATCTCTGATTACTCAGAAAAAATTATCAAGGCCAACCACTTGGACAACAGTAAGATATGCATAAGTAAAATTTCTTCAGGAGAAAGGGATGCTAACTGATTTTTGCCTTTTCTGGTTAATTTATGTTGTGTAGCTTACATGTAAGTCATGGGTTTGTATTATTTATTTGTGTAAGTATAAAACTAAACAACACCTAGACAGTCAACAAGAGCTCAAGAGCTAGAAGTTATTTTTACTTCTAGCCTTACAGTAAACAGAAATAAATGGAATCTGCTGCTAGCTTGATTCAGTAAAACAGATAGCATATTAGAGCTGAAGAAGCATCAGAATTGCCTTTTCAACTAGTAGTAGTAAATTACTCACATCACTGAAATTACTTTTTCAGGCTACGACTTGTTAGAAATGCCTTCATGCAGTCAGCAATTAATTCAACGCTGCTATCAGAGACAGCTAACGTTCTCGCACAACATGTGTAACAGTGAAGTATCACATAACCCTTTGATGGTGAATGGTGCCTTTTCAATGCTGAAAATGCATATATACAATTTTGGAAATCGCCAGTACTTTACAGATAAAATCCTAACTCTACTGAGGTCAATGCAAATTCTACCACTAAATTTCATCGTGGCAGGATTTCTCTGTCTAGGCAAATGGAATTCTTTGTGTGTGCGATACAAAAGGGAGAAGTCTGAAATAGAGAGTATCAACTGAAGAGAACGTCAGTTAATCTGGAGCACCTCCCACATAGCAAATATCACATCTTAACTTTGCCTGGTCCTTCGGACTAGATGATATGTATGTTTAAGCAGTTTTATATTGGTGCTGGATGACTTGCTGTGAATACCTAATGCAGCTCACACAGACACAAGAGTTAAGGACCTCTCTCCCTTCTCTTACACGTGTTTCAAAGCTTCCTGTCATGTTTAATGCAGCATTTCCCTAGAGGGTGTATGTATTACTTATCATTCATACGCTATCTCAGTGGAGTACACAGATCAGTCTTTGGTGTATGGGCATGTCAAATGTTACCTTTTTAATGCATATGACTTTCTGAGTTAGCATGCTATTTTTATTGTTTAGAAATAAATTTTAAATACAAAAGCAACCTACTGCATTTTCTGCAAAAGCATCAACTTCTTTAGTCATGCTATAATTGACTGATCATATCTAGAGCTCAAAGATAATTTTTAAAAACTCACAATTTTTTTCCATTAACGTAAAAAGGGTAAACACTACTCCCTATTAATGCTCAGGGAAATCTAACACAAGTGCTTTGCTGCCCTCATAAATATGCTGAGGTATCAGGCAGTCTTAGCTCTACAACTCTGCCTGCTCTTAACTACTTTATTGACAACGATGAATTAAAAGATAAGAAAATTCACCTTTCAGAAACAATACAGATTCTTTGCCATTGGAAAAAAACATGAAAGTATATGCTCAGTAACTCTGAGATTTTAAAGGAGTATTGTATACATCCTCAAAATGCTAAAAAGCCCTAAGTTTAAACAGATTTTTCAAAGTATCAAGTATTCAAAGTATTAGAGTTGATGTGGAAGGTAAACAGGTATTGGCACCAGCACTCCCATTAATTTTTGCTACTGTTTTACTTTACTGAGGAAGTATCACAATCATCTCTGAGATAGTCACAGTTACCCTCTCATCTTCCCTGGGAGAAGAACACACACAACATTTCGCTCCACAAAATATCCCCCTTCACCCCAAACTCCCCAGACCCCTGCTATGAACACAAAGGTCTGGGTATCTGCTCCCTCTTCAGGAGCAGCAAAAAAAGGCCACCTGTGAGCAGCCTAGCAATATTGGGACCAAACAACTGCCTTTGCTTTTGCTGCTTTTCCTTTGCTCTTGCTTCTTTCTTTATGCACTTGGTCAGAGGCCTCATCAAAGGCAGAATACAGAAAATACAGGAAAAATGAAATAACTCCCTAGAGTGGAAAGGAAAATGCTGGGAAGCAGCTGAGTGTCCAAAGGCCACAGCAGCTCGATGCTGAAAATCGAACATGAAACTCCATCCCTATAGAGAGGGGGATCCTTAAGGAAGCCGCTGAGTGTCCAAAGGCCACAGCACGATGCTGAAAATCGAACATGAAATTCCATCCCTATAGAGAGGGGGATCCTTATCAGAGGATCGAACATAAATGCCTGTCCTTACCTGAAGGGGTGTCCTTGCCAAAGAACCAAATACGAATCCCCATCCCTATGGGGACGGGATCCTTTCCCACCCTCTGGAATCTACACGATTCCTCCATTCATCGTAGGCTTCCTGGCAACTGCAGAGAAGCACACACGCACCTGGAATTCCCATTTAATTGCAGAAAATAAATACATGCCATCACTCTGGTCAGTAAAAAGGATGAAGACCTAATGGCATTCCCGTACAAAGGATCCATCAGGCCCTCCACCTGGTCTCCCATCCTTAGACAGCAGCAAAGCTTGGTGGAACACAGGTACGTCTGACTTCAGGTTGGATCAGCACCTAATCATTCCAGATGAAAGGAGGACCAGTAACGCTGACCAACCCCCGTGGTTATTTCCAGATACCGGAGATATTTCCGAAACACCTGCTGGGAACAGTAGTTTGAGAACCAATTTTTTTCAGACTGCAATTCAGCGAGATCAGTTGCCCTAACTGCAACTCTCCTGGTGAAGCCAGCAATACACTGAAGAGTCAAGGGCACTCATGGGTCAATATCTCATTAAGACTTTTAAATTGAAAATATACATTTATTTTAGAATTCTTCCATAAGTATTAACTCCCTGGTTTGAGGAGGTTTTGGATCCACAATAATTTTTCAATGTACCTTTGAGGAAGTTGCCTCCTAAGAAAACTTTACACATTTCAAAAATATTATTCTCTGAAGGCAACCCTTGGGACTTGGCTTGAAATGCAAGCAGGTGGTTTTGAACTATGAATAGGAAATCACAGCAGCTTAAGGGAGTTCAGCACAGAACTCAGAGGATTTCATTTCTTTTTCTTTTTTCCTTTTTTTTTAATGAGTAAAGTTGGAAGAAGTAGGTGAATATCTCTGAGTTATCTGTATTAACTTTCAATTCCAAC